CTCTCTCTCTCTCTCTCTCTCTCTCTCTCTCTCTCTCTCTCTCTCTCTCTCTCTCTCTCTCTCTCTCTCTCTCTCTCTCTCTCTCAAGTTTTTCCGCCAACTTAGGGAACACATCAATCAACATAGGACAGTTTGTTATCTTTGCATCTGCACACCTAAAAGGGCTGAGGTGGACTGGCAGTTTAACCCAGAGACTCCAAGAACCTGTCCTTGGATGCTCTTCGCAGACAGTTGGCAGTGCGGGACTCTTCCAGGATTTCAGAAGACTGAGGGCCATGGCCCGCCAACTTATGTTCGTGCTAACAAAACATAAACCTTTTCGAACAGGTGGCAAGGTTTGTACTCGCACAAGCACAAACGTAGCACCAATGGGGCTGTAGTAGACTGCTTCCAGTATTTCAGAAGGCCTTACCAATGCTACATTCATACTACGAAAATATGAACCTGACCAAAGAGGTGGTGAGATTTGACCTTGCACAGCATAAACATAGTACCGATGGGGCCTGGCCCTGAGTCACCCAAACACATGCCCTCAACCCGGCCTTCACAACCTACCCTCAAAACCCATTTATAAATCATTTACCGACATAATTTACAGAATTGAGAAAGCAGCAATGCTGAGATTAAAAAAAAAAAAAAAAAAACCTCTCCTACCCCATGATAGGAGAGAAAATTAAACGGGTGAACAGTGATACTGTTTGAGGAAAGAAGAAAAAAAAGAGATCCATTACGACATCCAGAACAGTTGACACAAGAAAGCTAAGGAAGTAAAGCAGTGGCTCCTGCAGAAAACCTCAACCAATACAAAAATAACAATAGCAGGGCACTTTCTTTTTTTTTAAACACACACACACACACACACACACACACACACACACACACACACACACACATTTTTATGTATGTTTCTTCTTTCTTGTATTTTTCTTACTTCGTGTCCCTCGCTGAGCACCCTCAAGCAGTGCCAAACAGCCGGTCATTCCACGTTTGGGGTGCCTACAGCACTCTTAAGGGGGCCGCTCAGTTCGGGATGTTGGTGTTTCCTGGGGGTGATGACTGATGTTCGTCTGAGTGATTCCCTGGCTCAGCGGGTGGTGGGAACCAACAGTCTGTGGGGTTAACTCGTGATGTGAGTAGGCCCTGTGCTGCTTTGCTCCATGTTCGATGTGTAGACTGTCTTTTCTGCGCTCTGCCGCTGCCTTGCTGCCGTCCCGCGTGCTTCGCAGGTCTTCCTCGCTGCTCTGCTACCTTGCTGCCCATCCGCAGGCCGTGCCTTCCGTTTGTTTTGCTTGTGTGCCTTGTGGCTTGGTTGCCATTGCATGGTTGCGAAGCTGCTCGTCCGCTTGCCCTGTCGGTCTTCCGTGTCCTTCGCTTGCGTGCCTTGTAGTCTGGTCGCCTTGTCGATGTCGCCTTGCGCTTCACTGCACGGTTGCCGAGCTGCACGTCCGCTTGCCCCGTCGTTCCTTGCAGTCGTCTTTGGTGATAAGCAGTTGGGTTGCTCCGGCAACGTTGCCTGGTGCTTCGCTGAGTTGATGTCCGCTGCTATGGGACAGTGTGCCTTCAACATGGGTCGAAGGGTTCATGACCCGAACCATCAATACGGTGATTCTGCAGATTGTCGAGGGTTCAGCCTCCTGATGAGTCAGTGCAACTCCGGCCAAACAATCTTATCATCATCAGCTTTTTTTTTTTTCGGTCTTTGATTTTTTTTGGGACTTATATCTTTTTCTGGTTTCCCTGTTTGGTGTGCTTGCATGCTGTCTGCTCTCCCCCCTCCCCCGTGCCCTCCAGCCTATGGTTCACCTCAGTGCTCTTTTGCCTTTGTCTTTTTGCTTGCTTGGTTTTGGCATGCCTTGATGTTTTTCATATCTGCCTGGTCTTGGCATCCTTTTGGGACTTGTTTCTTTGGTTTGCCTGCTTGGTATGCTTGCATGCTGTCTGCCCTCCCACCTACCCCATGGCCTCTAGCCTATATGTCTGGCACTTCGGAAAGCTGGTCATGGATAACCACGTATGTACGAGGTAGCTCCATGAGAAATAGTAGAGGCAACATACAGTGTTAGTTATGCTGTGGCAGGGTGGGGTGTACCATTAGTTCCATGGGGTGCATGACGAGTACACCAGGGTATATATTGGACACACGCATATGTACATGCACGCATTGCAGGGCCACGTGTACACGCGCATGCATGTGCAGGCATGCATGCGCAGGCACACAGGCACACACGCACGAATGCACACGTGCACACGCATGCACGAATGCACGCACCGGCATGCACACCCACGCACACGCACAGCCCCCCCCACCCATCCAGGCCTGTGAAAGGTAGGGGCGAGAAACGAAGAGGATAGTTCCTGTTCGGTGGCTCACGTGGGTGCATGCCTCAGTTGCACCAGATAGGTGATGGGTTCAAGTCTCTAGCCAGAATTGAAATGAAGGTCGGTTTTGTTCACCGATGGGCCTAACTCAGTCGGTACACCTAAGATCCACTGGAATGCAGACTTGAGCTTGAATCCAGAATCCACATGGAACTAGATGAGTAATTGGGCCGGTCAGTTCGAGGATGGTACCTCAAGGCAATTGCGCTTTTTTTTTTCCCTCGAAAAAGAAAGTGCAGACAGGTTCAAAATTAAAGCCTAGCTGAACAGGGAATTGCACTTGTGACGACAAAGAGAAAGACCCCAACTCTGGAGGGAGGAGTGGACTGCGCTAGCGCTAGCGCCCCGCAGCAGGCCAACCGGCAGGGCCCGGTTGTCCCTGACTCGACTAGCACCCGGGGAGGAGGGCCCCGTGGTTGCTAGGCCTGCGTACGCGCCCAATAGGACACGTGGCGCTCTCCATTGCCACGCGCCGCACCTATTGTTTGGTGTCGTGGAGGCACCGTTACGCGTAAGCAGGGGCAGCGCTGGCCGTGAGATTGCATCAAGTACCTTGCAAGTTAAGCGGTGTAGTCTGTTCAACCAACTATGGCTTCACCCGGAGAGTTACATCGTGGAGCAGCAGCGTGGTTATGTACTCTGGAAAGGGGCTGGTGGAGGCTGCAGCTGATCGCGGGTGAGCTGTCTCTCCAAAAGCAGCAGGGGATGGAGGTTGACAGGGGGGCGATTTCACTGCCTGTCTGGCTGGCTGGTAGTAGCCAGGATGTGCTGGCGATCATCTGGGAGCTGGAAGAGGGGCCAGCTGCTCAGCTCGATCCCATCATTGATTGGAGCCAGGCGGATGAGCTGCTGAATATCTGTTATGCCCTCTTCGAAGAGGGTGTCGCCCTCCGTACAGAGTTGGAGGACAGCATAGGTTACCTTGGCGGCACCTGCATCATTGACGACGACTATAAAATTGCCACCAACAACAATAACAACAACAACAACAGCAATAATGGCAACGACTTTTGTGGCTGCAAGGACTGCACCGAGTGCACTGACGAAGGTAAGTCTGGTGGGCGTGAGGACAGCATCGGAGGCACGAGCGGCACCTGCATCATCGCGGAGGATAATAGCACCGATCACACCAACATCGATAACAGCAACAACGAAGATTACAACAACAACAACATCAACAATACTCATTCTACGCTCTCTCCGCGCGTGGCGCGAACGGAGTTGTCGCCCCCTCCTTGCTCGCCTTTCTGCTGGGAGGGGGGGAGGTTACATCCCGTTTGATGGCTCAGGTACAGGAGGGTTTCCCTGCACCCTGCCTTCCTTGATGACATGGCTGATGCTAATGAATTTGGTACAGGTATGCGTTTGGAGTCTGATGGGATTGGTCTCTTCTGGGGCAACCTAGGGTCTCGTATTGATGATGGCTGGCAGGACTCCATATCGTCGACAGCCTTACTCACCAAGGTGGTGGGGATGAAGCGATTAGGTATTGGGTAAGCAGGAATGGATAGCGGAGGATGGGTGATTGAGATTTGCAAGTTGGGCTTCCAGGTTGATCGACAGTGCTGATATACTAACTACAGGNTTGGGTAAGCAGGAATGGATAGCGGAGGATGGGTGATTGAGATTTGCAAGTTGGGCTTCCAGGTTGATCGACAGTGCTGATATACTAACTACAGGAGCGGTGATGTGGGTTTGTTAGGAAGTTCTCGCTTCCTCCACCTTATGCAATGAGTGGTACCATGAGGTATGGAGGTACGGGGAGTGTGGATCTACTCGTTTTCTCCATCCCACGTCAAAACATAATTGCTTAATTGCTAATAAGATCATTGTACTCTAGCTATTGGCGCTCCCCCCTTTCATGGTGGTAGTGTTAAATCTCGGAAATGGGAGATGCGATTTAGGCTAACTTTTTAGGGTTTGTGTTGGAATGTTGATCTCATTCGACCCCCTTTGCCCTGCTACAACTTCTCCTCGCTTCTGCTGGTGTTGAAGGGTTTCAAGTACTGGCGCTGTGTTGAATCGAGTCTTTTTTGACATCATTGTACAAGGGACGCTGGACCCGATTTCCAGCTGACACATGTTATTGTACAGGGACGCTGGACCCGATTTCCAGCAGGTGTAGCTCCCCACCAATAGATGGACCCTTCAACGTCGGGACCCACTTAACGGGGCTGCTCTTATCACCTCGTTAAGTGGGATCTCCCGCATATGAAGTTTTTGAAGGCAAAAAAAAAAAAAGAAAAAAAAAGTGCAGACCGGAAACAATGGACTGTGCCGTAATTAAAGAAATTGCCACCAATCGTGGATGCATTGGATTACAATCAGTCCAGAGATACGCCGAAAAAGGAACTGCAGTACTTGTAGCACGAGTTGGGCCCAGAGAGAGCAGCTGTAGCCGTCGAGGACCGTTCCATTAAGCACCTGAATGTGGAAGTATTTCATGCGGAGATGCAGGAAATGAAAGCAGAATCAATAGCCGTTTTTGCTACTATCCAACGACGCATCTAGATTCACATATAGAAGGAAAGATAGAAAAAGAGGAAAACAACGAACCAGGGATCCAAACCCCAGCACAACCCCCACCCTCCTGCTCACCTGGATATCCTATTGAGGCAAAAAGAAGAGGCCATTACGGGTCTGGCCCCCTGCCAAGATCATGTGGTGGCGATGGTAGATGAAGCCATTAGGACCATGGGCTGAAGGACAAGCCTTCACACCTTAAACCACCAGTACCGACCACATTTTTCGTACCCCCCGGCCTCGAATGAATTTGGGCAGAGGCCGATTCGACTTCCGGCCGCCCCAAAAGGTAGGTACTGGTGGTTTAATGGTAGGGCCTACCTGACTGTCAACAAAAATTTTCAGCTATCTGGTCAAAAGCAGCCAGCCTTTTAGCCAATCCCTCCTAAGCAATTAGAAAGTGTGGCAGCGACCTTCCTACAGAAAAACGAGCATGAAGGTGAAAACTGCCTCAGACGATTGCCATGGACATTCCTGTCGTCTCCAGATCGCAGGAACTAGAAGCCAGGATTCCAATGGTGGTTACAGCTCATCTAATGCCGATCCGATCCTGTGAGGTTCAGTGGCCCAGGTGGGCCGATGTCAGAACGATGCTGGCTGGTGCTGGGCCTTGCCCTGGAAGTTGTTGTTTGGAGGAGCGTGATGCTTGGTAGAGACATCTGTGGAATCGCTTTGGGGGGGGGGCGCATAACAGTGGTCAAACAGGGGCTCTTGCCAGGGCAGAGCTGGCCGGAGCTGGGGTGGGTCACACGGCCCTGTAACTTACCATGCTCAGGGTGTGAGGCCTGATAGAGGCCTGGTTTTGAGAACATGACAGCTTTGGTAGGCTTTGGTTTGGTCTGTTGAGTATTACCTGGAATTTTGGCATTCGCTGTGTTTCCTGTGGCTTCTTCGAATACTTCAGTAGTTCATTTATGCTGATTTCTCGTGAGCATCCCTGTCAGCCCCAGTTCTTGAATGCCTCAGTAGTTCTTCCAGGATTTTCTGTTATTATCAGCCAAAGCCGGGTAATGGCCCCGGTATCTCAAATTCTTTGGTATAAATGTCTTATGAGACGCTGGGCCCGGTTCCTAGCACGTGCTGCTCCCCATGAATAGATTGGAACATTGTCCCCCCGCCGTCCCCGCCGGAAAAAAAGGGAAAAAAACCCTGCCTTTTGGGAATATGCGTCCCAATGGGTGGTGTGTGGTGGGTTGTCCAATTCTGCGCTGATGCTGTTATGTCTTAGTTCATGGAGGGCCAATGCCAGAACGACGCTGGCTGGCACTGGGGTGTGGTCGCGCCGCCCTGTAACCTGAGTTAGACGGGCCTGGTAGGGAGATTTGGGGAATTGTCGAGGGTGGAAGGCAATGTCAGTGGCCATTGTGAGCTAACGACAGGATGATGCCGGCCGGAGCTGGGGCTGGTCGTGCCGCCCTGTAGCTGAGCATGGAGGGGCGTGAGACCTAGGTAGTAGAATCTTGGTCTGAGGACACAAAGGTTGAGGCGGGTTCCTCAGCAACCCCCAGGGATTGGGCAATCCTCAGCAACCCCCAGGGATTGAGCTGGGCTGATAGTGAGCTCCGAAAAGGGAAGGGTAAATTTGCCGTTCTGAGGGGAGAGAGAGCTCCAAAGCAGGAACAGTAAAGGCCACAGTCCCAGGACTAAGTGGGTATGGATTGCGGAAAACACAGGGACGGTTGTACACTGGGATCCACAATGGGCTAACAGGGCTGGTGTATGGTTTGAGTAAAAACACAGGGTAGGGCTGCACATACCTGGGAATAGGCTGGATCAAAGGGGAAGGGGGAGGGATGGCACATGAACGAAGGGCTGGCAATCCTCAGCAACCCCCAGGGATTGGGCTGGGCCGGTTGAAAAGAGTGAGCTCCGGAAAGGGAAGGATAAATTTGCGGTTCTGAGGGGAGAGAGAGCTCCAAGGCAGGAACAGTAAAGGCCACAGTCCCAGGACTCATTGGAAATGTGCATTGTATTATGATGATGTATCCAAGGGACGCTGGACCCGGTTTCCAGCAGGTGCGCTCCCCACCAATAGATGGAGCAGTCAGATGGCCACGACCTGATTCCAGCGGTTCACTCACCACCGCTGGGATGGAGGGCTTGAAGAAAAGGGCTTTTTCAACTAAAAAAGAAAACAAACAGGAAGAGTCTTGTCCTTCAGGACATCCGTTACAATCGGAAGGCTACAGAGAAGATTAGCATGGACCCTGCACAAGGATGGCACACATAGATCGATAAAGGAACACTTGTAATTTCTGGGGGTCGCTAGTGGGGTATCTGAAGTTGTGCTGAAGCTCTTATGTTCAGTGATACGTGGCTGTCTGATGCCAGAACAACGCTGGCTGGAGCTGGGCATTGCCCTGTAACCTGCTGTTGGCGGGGGAATGAGGCCTTGTAGAGAGATCTGGGGATGCTTTGGGGGCGGCATCTCAAAGGACAGCTGGGGATTGCTGCTGGGACGATGCTGGCCGGAGCTGGGGTGAGTCGCGGTGCTCTGTAACCTAACAGGTTGGGGGTGTGAGGCCTGGATGAGCCTGGCAGAGAACAAGATAGTTGGCGGGCTTCGGTTCGATCTGGTAGGCAACCCTTAGGTTCTTGGATATTCTGGTGATTGCTGGGGATTGCAGGTTGTGTTCGCAGTTTCCTCAAAAACATATAGGGAAAAAAAAAAAAAAAAGGTTTCTTAAACTTCTTTTAGTTTCTTTTCACCTAAGCTATATTCTTCTCTCAATTTCACCTTTCACTATCTACCTACCACTACTCCTAAGCCTATACAGGGGACCCCTGCATGCATAGCACCTCTCACAATTAAGGGGAGTAGAGTGGGGCCGCCGGTGAGGGGACCGGCTAACACAAAGACCAAGCATTTTGCCAGTAGCTGTGCCTCCCATCTACTTCCCACATCCCCCACCCCCCATCGAGTACCAGTAGTTGGTTCCCTGTCAGGTATTTGTTTTCGAACTATTCCTTCTGGCTGAGAAAGAATTTGATCTGCTATGGCCAGCACTCTCCCGCACACCACATACAACCCACTCACGCTCACATTCACACCCGTGTTGGTCATAGACACTACTAGTACCAACCAGAGGTATCAAGCGGACTATCACAGCTGGTTGCGACTAAGTGCGCTGGAGGCAGTCTTGGGGCTCGAACCCACAACCTCCCGAATGTCGCTTGTGTGCCTAACCAACTGAGTTAGGCCGCTGGATTGAAAAAATAAAATAAAATGGTACTGCTCTTGTATGAGTTTTTCTCAATGGTTCTGATGTTTCCAATATTTCTACTAGATCCAACCCTCAGCCGAAGCCGAGTAATGGCCCTGGTATTTCAAGTTGTCCTGTATGATTCCATATGGGACGCTGTGCCCGGTTCTCAGCACGTGCTGCTCCCCACCAATAGATTGGAGCAAATGTTAAAAATAAAAAATAAAAATAGGGGGGATTAGCCATCCTGGAACCACAGCATCAACTCAAAGCCCTCGACTGTAAGATCACACCCAGTAAACCACCAGTAGCTTTCCCCGCTTGAAACAAAAATATGCGGCTCGTATATGGCCGCAACTTTAAGGGGTCGGGGTACCAGACAAATTGGCTGACGGCGCCAACCAAAATGAGGCCTGCGCCAGTTTGTGTTTTTTTTGTGCGCAGGGCATTTTCATGCTAAGCTGCAATATTAGGTGGGCGAGGACCTGGTGGTTTATTAATAGGACATGACCTGGTTACCGTCAATCTCAACAATCACAGTCTCCTACCAATTTAACCAAAAGGGATGCCACAAATGACCCGAAATGCCCAAATCTCTTATGCTTATGGAAGATGGGGCCAAAGAGACAACTCTCAGACTTGAGATGGCATGACTTAGGAGGCAATCCCTGTTCAGCAACCCGGAGATCCTTGACTCGCAAGGGAACCCCTTTGCACTCACAAATAAATCCCATTGCCACGCGTGGGTGGCAACAGGAATCTTTGTGGCAAATACATGGAAAAATGAAGAGCTGCTAAAAGAACAACTAAAATACGTAAGGGGGATAGAGCGGGCAAGTTGTTGCAGCTCCCAGAGGCAATCCCGAAGGTCTGGGACTATCTAAACTTATAGAATAGTCTGACTAGCCTATTCTTAAGAAGTTCAGCCTTTTTGTCTAAGTTATGTATCTGACTTAGTAAGAATCTGAGAAACTTTTTTTTCTAGGGGAAGTGCTGCCCAAATTTTTACTAAATCAGGGAGTTAGACAAAACCTTGACTTTTGAAAGTTAGGATTATTTTAGATTCTGGATTTAGCTTTGTATGAATTTTGGAAAGACACTTTTCTAGATGGAGTGCTGCCGAAATTTCTACAAATCTACGGAGTTAGTCAAATCTTGTCCTAGCAAAACGCAAGTTGCTTCTTGAGTTTATACCTGACTTAGTATAAATCTGGGGAGTCAACCTTTCTAAAGGAGATGTTGCCCAAATTTTTGCTAATTCAGGGAGTTAGACAAAATTTGACTTTTAGGAGTTATAATTTATTTTCACGTTCCATATTCGGACTTGTACAAATTCTGAGAGGGCAATTTTCATACGGGAAGCGCTACCGAAATTTTCCTAGTTTAGAGGAATTAGATTATATTTCGACAGGTGATGATTCTAGCGATCCACATTGGATAGGGAGGATGCTGCCAAAGGTCTGCCTTTTTCTTGGGCACGTGCGTAGAGGTAGACCTAGGCTTAGTTATCAGGAGGATTTATGTAAGAACGTGATATAGAGATTATTCATTGTGCGCTTATAAGCTTAGCTTGGGCATTGGTCTGTTTTGTGTTAAAGGTCCTCTTGATCGCTCCGATTCAGGATCAGGATTAGATTCAGCTTGATCCTACGAGGATCATCTTATGTATCACTGATAATAGGTCGGTTGCCGATTCGTCGGTTTAAGACTCAAATTCACTCTACCCTCTTTTACTCAACCTAAACGCTTTAGC